GGCAGGTTTTCAATTAAGGTGACTACACAATTACTTGTTCAACTTGGCACACAAGAATGTTCTCTTTTTTTTCCTCCATTCATTTCTGATTTGGTAATGACACTGTACACATAATGCTTACAGCGAAAAACATTACTAAGCCCCAAGATCTGTTGAAACCAATACTTAATTGACCTTAATTTTTTAAACAAATAATGATGTTTGTGTCAAACAGACCCATATATTGTATACAAATGTGTCATGAGTTAAAAACAACACAATCTTTCAGCCATACAATATAAAAAATGGTCCACATGATCCCCCAATAAGGATGGTGGAGTCCAGCACATTTAGTCCAAAACGCTTCAGGGTGGAGGGTGGGGAAGTAGTTTGAAGATGTTAGGAATTCCCATGATGAGATCTAGGTCAGGGTCTCTCCTTTGGTCACCTGTATCAAGATACAGTTTAGTTTAATGGTTAGATCACTTGGAGTCAGCCAAGCACAAAGTCCATGTGATTCCTATACTTACTCTGGCCTCTATGTATTCAATCCTTCTCTCCAACGCTGTTAGCTTTTCGTTGAGGGTGGCCAGACGAGACCGACAAGACATATCTGTAAGAGTTTTAATGAAATATGACGTTAGGGTTATTAGTATGCTTAAGATGCAGACATCTGTCTATCAATTTTATCACAATCCTGTTCATTTACAAAGCATAATCCCCAAGAGCTGCTGTCCTGCATGTTTAGAGGTGTTCATGTTCCCACAAAGATGATTAAAGGATGGATTAAACTTTTCTATTTGTCATCACGTTTCCTTACTATATCCAAACATTACTAAGCACAATGTAAAATGTAGGACAGGAGATCTAGACTTAAGTCGTTGCACTTGTTCTGTTAGTAACAAAACAAGTGCAAGTTGTTTAGTCTTCATGATGTATTTATCTGGAATAAGTTGTGCACGTAACACGATTTCTAGACTAATACGACCCGTTAATGGAATTTGTACAGCTCCAGCCATCAGCTGTTCACTCAGTAAACACGGCCGACTAAACCTGTAGAACCTGTTTAAAAAACATCACGCTGTTACGCTACCCTACCTGCGTAATTTTTAAATTAAATTTACTCTTAACCTTATGTAGATAATATTTTATCTACTAAATTTGCTTTAAAACGTCCTAAGAAAACAGGAAGCTGGAAGCTAACAGCTAGCTGGGAGTGGCCATTAAAAACATCAACATCATTGCTAGCAGAAGCTACAAAGCTAGCTCAACTAGCCAACCTGATCTTTTCAATCAAATTTTATACTCTAAGATGATCACATTCAAGACTTCGTTCGCTGAAATCTTACCGAACGAGTTGAGGAAGTCAGCAATTTTCTTAATGCTGCTAGTAATCACTTCTATGTACTCTCGATTTGCCCAATCTTGATGAATCTCTCTCTGTACGGGATCTTCCTGGCCAGCCATGTTGGATGAGATGCAGCAGCTCCGCGTAGCACTTCAAGCAGGAAGCATCGATCAGACGGCTGTCCCTTACTAGTAATGTCGGCACAGAACAGCGAGAAGAGTGGGGAATGTTTCACAGAACCCAAACAGGGGATTAAGTCAGAATTCATCACGCTTATCTCATATTTAATTAGTATTCACTAAAGGAAGTAAGGAACAAATGACCTTACTCATTTAAATTTGGCCTTCATCCTTAATTTACGCTTTTTCATTTGAACAAAAACCTCAGAGCAAGGATTTTCTATAGTAAGACTATAACCACACTGTTGTTATAACGTGCCACTTTATTAGGTACATCCAGAAAAGGAACAAGTGTAAAACACATGAACCTACCATTACTCAAATTCAACATTCAGCCAGATATTGGAAACACTTCATACATTTTTGACCTTATTGAATATGCCAGAAATGGTTACATTCAACAAACTAGTTTTGAGATTATTTCAGCCTTGTGACCTGGATTATCAGAAAGTTCTTTGCACCTATTTATAAAGCAATTTAAATAACTTCCTCAGTGTTCTTCATTCCTGATCAACATGAAAATACTGTAACTCTAGATAGGAACTCCATGTCATTTCAAAGTAATCCTTATATTTATACGTAACTATAGTCACTGACATCTATGCGTTACTGCTCATTTTGATACTAGATATGAAATTTTGGCCTACGCATTTGTGAGTAATGGAACCTCCTGCCTTTGTAGAACGGTATAGCATTTGTGTATGAAGATAAAATGTATTCCTACATTTATTGGAACTTGAATTCATGAATTCTGCTTTTGTGAAACAGTCCTTGAATTTGTTTACTGTTGTACAGGAAGCACCTAATTATAGATTAACTCATAAGAATTTCTATAATTTTGTCCAGAAGAGTAAGTCAGAACTAGTCAGTACTAGTTAGCAGTAGCCCTTCTGAAATTAGGACATAAAGCGTCACCCTAAATTCAATTACACAATTTGTACTGCAGGACCTTCTTGTGCTTTTTTTTTTTTTTTGGTGTATTTCAACTGCATTTATTTTACTATATAGTTTTTGCTTTGTTGATAAATGTCTCTTGGTTTCCGTCTGGTTGCTCTTCAGCCCAACTTATTTTTAATGTGATTTTCAAATAAATCAATGTCAGAACTCAACTTACAGCTCCATCTAGGGTGTAAATAATTTACACATCACTTTTTTGTGCACATGAATTATCTACAGTTATATATGAAATGCACTGAGTCTTTTTGTATAAATTGCATTTTATTCAAATAAAAAAAATGCTCACATGAAACATGCACAATTTCTTTTCTTTTTCCCCCCAAATAGACATTGTAGTATAGACAGTGGTAAAGTCAGACATTTACATCTGCATCAGAAACGTCCTACACAAAATGGTTTCCAGGAGTCTCTTCATTAAGTAAATGGGTTCAAGAACCAAGAGTGTACCACTGAAAATATCACAATCTTTGAAATATGTTTTATTTAAGCTGTTAGCTGGGAAAGCTAGATAAGATACCCCAAATAGGCGTGCCTGCTGATAAGACTTTCTGTGAGGGAGGGGTCACAGCCGACATTTTCAACAACCAGCCGTCGAGTGTCGCAGCCCATTTTACTTAATCCTCTTCAGCAACTCTCTAATGTCTCCCTCGAGATCAATGGTGAGAAAATTTCTGCTGTAGCGCTTGTATGGCTCACCATCGGCACCAATCAGGAACTTCTCAAAGTTCCAGGAGATGTCACTCCTGCACACAGGGCTCCAGATGATGAACTTTGGGTCGTTCATGAGAGACACAGCATTGTCGCTGGGGACTGGAAGTTTCTCCTTCAGATAGACAAACAGGGGGTGGGCGTCACTGCCATTCACATCCACCTTTTCAAGGAGCTGAAAGTTTGGTTCAAAGCCATTCCCTGGACGGACGTACTTCAGGGATCTCAGGATTTCATCGTTCCTTGCGTTCTCCTGTTATGCATAAACATGAACATAATTATAGATGCATTGAAATGCAATAGAGAAAACTGAGTAACTGTTGAGCGTGCATTAAAAAGTGAGAGTAATAAAAGCAATTCAGTAAATAGGTTGCGTCGTAATGTAATTAGGTGAATTTTGGAAGCTTGTGGAAGTAATTTTAATCATAGGATATACACTGATCTGAAAAGTTCAACTTATAGTGGGTAAGACCTTCAGATAATACATAGAAAACAGAGGGTGTAATAATGGATGGATTCTTTTTTTGCACTTGACTGCCCTTACATACTTAAAAAAAAACATTTTGAATGCAGGGTTTTTATATGAATATTGAAATTAATTTACAAAAACGGAAACCTTACCTGATGTCCAAACTGATTGCAGGGCACACCCAGGATAACGAGTCCCTCGGCGGAGAAGCGAGAGTGAAGCTCGTTCATCTGCGTGTAGTCCCTGACTGTTGTTCCTCAGAGGGACGCTACATTCTCAATGAGAACAACTTTCCCCTTCAGTGTGGAGAAACTGAAGGATTCACCGGACAACAGCTTTGCTGTCAGGTCGTAGAACCTCTTAATATTCCCAGCCATTTTTTGCGACTTCCTAAAAGTTGGATAGGGGTGTAGTGAACTTTCCTGTCTCCTGTCAACACGTCTCAATCGACTCCACCCCGCGCTTTAAGAGAGGCGGGGCCACTGCGTGAAGACGTTTACCCACTGGGGACCTTGAATCAAATTAGGCTGTTAATGTCACCTGGAAGTTTGATTTGAGCTCTGAAATACCAAACTCATACACTAAAGTTTTTTCAACATGCCTAATTCAAAACGAATTAAAACACATTTTTTAAAAATGTAAAGAATATATAGTATAACAAAACCACAACAATACATACGTTACAAAACAAATGCAATATGTATTTATTTTTTTTCTCAAAGTAACAGCACCATTTGAACTAACCTTCAGAATTGTGACATACACCACATTCCCAGAGGTCCATTTGTCTATTTATTTCATATCCAACTTTTTCAGGTAAGAAACACCCAAAACATTTTTTCTAAATGACAAAAGAGCAATGCATATATAAATGCAATCAAATATCTTTGAATATATACGTTTTACCGGTAGCTGTCATATTTGATAATGAACTGTGGGTGCCTCGGGCACCTTCAATTTTCCAAGCTGAAAGTCCCATTTTGGGGAACATTGTTTTTCATTTTCCAACTTGAACCTTATAAAATCCAAGTACAAATTGGACACATTACAATCTACTTTTCGATATATCTCTTTTTCAGATGAATTAGCAGTAGATAAATCAGTGTCTGACGTTTATTATTAATATAAGAAAAATATTTGTGCAAGATATAGGTTTGTTCTCATAAGAAGGTCCCATAAAATTGAAAATGTCATATGTTATAATGACACATTATTTTACAATCAAATGTATAGGTAAAACAGCAGCATTTTATTTATTTTTTTTGCCGCAGTAAACGCAAACAGGAAGTTACCAAGAAGAAAAGAGTCCCTCTACCCTGCAAATTTGAGGAAAATGCTCACAATCTACCCAACAAACACTCCCCACACCCCCAGCAGCACCGACTGTTGTTTCCTTTTCAAGATTTGAAACTGTCACCTCCTTCACCCCTTGTAATCGGCATTAATGGTACTTTCCAGGAAGTCCTGTGCAATGTGTAATCCAGTGTTTTCTCGGGTCTTTGTGAACAAATATACGTTGTGTAAACGACGTATTTGTTTTTCGTAAAACGACCAAACACTTTGTGACACATGGCAGCTTCTTCACAGAAAACACAAACAGTTTAGAGTTCGGCAGCAGCTGAATAGCGGTACCTGCTCTTCGGAGTTATCATGCCAGACTGCTTCTGTCTGTGTGCGGTCCTACTGGGTCTCCTCATTTTAACATTAGCAGGTTGTATATTTTATTCAGGACTCTTAGCGGATATCACTGTGAAAACTTGCTGTCCTACCTTTAATAAGCTAACTTTCGCCTATAAATTCAAAGAAGGCGCATATAAAGACAGCGGGGAACTTTTAAAGGAGGCTCGCTGTATTGGACTTGGACTCCCATGTCTTGGAGTGTTTTATGAAGACCCTAAAAAGGTAAACATTATTTTTCCAAATTCTTTACAAAAATATGCTGAATAAATGCATAATATATATTTTTTATATAGATAATGTTGTGCAATGAAGTGTATGGGGAGGACATAAATTAGGACATAATTAGTTCACTACTTGGCCACTAGATGGCGATAATGCCATTCTTTACAAAAATAATCCCTCAACTAATTTAACGATTTAATTATTGATATTCTGTAGTTTCTTTACTATTTCTTCTCACGTTTGATATATGAACCGAAAAAATATATTTAAAAAATATATTTAAAAAAAACTTTTTTAAGACTTAATTAATTTTCATTCATAATTTACTTGCCAAAACTGGACATAAAGTTGTGGATTTAATGTAGAAATTGATAATGTGAAAATATTTCATATTTGAAATGGTGTATAGGTTTTAAGCGTGTAATGCTGTTGTTGAGGTTTTTATCAACAGGGAATCAGGTTAAGTAACTCATAGCTTATGGTTTATATGTGCATTTCTTAATTCATTTTGGATATCATTCTGAACATCACAGATAAAGCTTTATTATTGTCTATGATTATTTGTTTTTTTATATATTAATTTTTCTTTTGCAAAATTATCTGAGTAGAAAAACAAAAATGGAAAATGCTATAAGGCTGGAATTTTGTCTTTCTGTTTTATCATCACTGTACATATTGTTTGGCTGTAGTGTGTCTTGCATATTTCGCTGTCATAAAATGTTGCCTAAAATTTCATAATTAGAAAAGTACTTTTAAATCACGCTGTATTTCATTTGAAGAAAAGTTGCAGACTATTTTACTGGATGATTCTTTCAGCAGTAACAGCATGGAGTGAGTTGGGCACAAACAACAAAAAAAAAGGCTGATGTGAGATGCACGTGGTACATCTAAGTGGCATATATGCTACCACTGTTGTCTAATTTTGAGTTTATTTTTCAATGAGTAAGGCAACTTTTCAGGTTTGTTTTGCTGAAAATATACCCTTACAACAAGATGGCACACTAATCCTATTAACCCTGGGTTTTTGCAGCAACATTCTGACAGGTAATTTGGATATAGCATCATTATTTCTCTAAAGAAACTGAACTAGAGTCAAGCTTCAGGAAGCTTGTGTCAAAAATGGGACCTATTTTATAAAATTAACCAGCAGTTAAGAGGCCAAAGAATATTCCTAAATATTTTAATTCCAAGAAGATATGTCAAACTTTGAATACTTTTAACTTTTGTAAAATAAGATGCCTATTTTATTTATTTATTTATTTATTTATTTTAAATCCAAGTTAATTTTTCTTGGTTATGTTATAGCTAACAAATTGAGTTCATAATGTTAAAATAATCCAGTTGGATTTGACTTCGTGATGATCTCCTGCTTTACATGTTGCTCTTTATGTAAACTTATCTGTCACACTACAGACAGCTGTGGACACTCCTATTTGTTGCTTCCAAAAGACTGTAAGACTGCTAGAATGACTTGAATCCAATTGAAAATCATTGAAAGTCTTTGAAAATCATTGTCTATCAGAGAGCAAAGAAGCCCTTAAGACCTACTTGAACCAAAGACAGTTTGTGAGAAGGAATGACTCAAAATGATGCTTGAGTGATTTATGTGATTAGTTTTTCCATGAAGAAGACATTGACATCGCTGAAATTGTTATTCCCAGGAAATGTTTTTTCTACAAAGTATTTTAAAAATTTCAATAGATCTATTTAATGCCTATTGCTCTGTCATTGCACTTTACCACACATAATCTATGGGCTAAATTGTTTAAATTTCTTCCTATGTTTGGATCACTTGGGGGGTGTTACCAACATTGGAATAAGACTCATTCAGAAATAACCTTTCAAATTAACATCATTCACGTTGTAATGGTCAGACAGAAACATAATGAAACCCTGAAAATCATCAAGCCCGAGGCCTTTTATGGTTGAGGTTGAACTGTTCTGTTAAGAGTAAGGGGGGAAAAAAAAAAATTCACAGTGACATTAAAAAGTCATGAGTCAACTAGAACCTTGGTTATATTCACACGGCAAATTGTCAAATATGTGAAAAATTTTATTTTCATTGCCAACTGTTAGTGCACAATTGATGACACTGCCAAAACTTTCCATGGCAACCTGATGAAATGTAACCAGAGTTTAGAGATGAGCTCTTCCCAGCTCTGCTTCAAAACGCCTTTGTTATGCTCTTCCTCTTTTTCTTTTTTTTTCCCCTTTCCCCAAGCTTGCAATTAGAGCAGTGGGTCCTGTTTCCTCTGCACGGTCACAGCCAAGTCTTGATCTAAGTTGGAATAATTGTCATAATGATCTCGGCTCATTAACGTCTGAGCCTCGGGATGCCATTCAGTGGCCGCACTGCCAGCCCCGGAGAGAGTGCCCTCACACAGGAGCACTGGTATTTGGTGCCTAAACAGGCAGATGCTGTCCACTGATATTTTCTGCAGGAAGCTCTTGTAAAACATGTAGCTGGAAGAGGATACGCATGTGTGTCCTTCATGCACAGTTCTCTCACTTTTACCTCGTTTAATCACTTCCTCTGGAAAAACAAAATACCTCGATGTGAACTTGATTTGGTTCTAAGATGGTTGCCATGGATACAGGGCTTGAACAGCTCTGTTTTATTCCTTCAAACATCCAGCTTCACATTCTGGGCTCCACTCACTAAAGCTTCTCCAATCAGCCTCTTCACAGCTTCAAAGCCAGAACGGGTCTCTGGGATCGGTTGTGTACTTCAACTCTACCTTTAAGCCTCGAAGTTTGAATCCAGCTGTTAGAGGAAACAGTTTGCCCAAGAGTAGTCTAGGAACATTAAGCACACATATTATACACAATAGATGCTTTATTTCACTATGTGTACATCAATGAAGGAATCTTGTATTGGATTATTTTATTAAAGATGGTAGCTCTAAAGTATTTATGTTACAGTAACATATCCAGCGAAAGTATTCACACCCCGTAACTGATGCTATGAAGCCTACTGTGCTGTAAACAGTTATCCCCCTCTGCAAAGAGAGTAGTGCTAAGCCAAACAAGGTGGCTGTTAATATTAATTGAGTATTTGGAAGCGTGGCCGATATAGACTGAATGACTTTGTTCACTTCCTTTGCTGCCATTTCCAAACTACAGGCAGAAAATTTATGTCATTGTTCTCAACGCCTCCTGTATGCACAGTTGAAATTCAGCCGAACAATCAAGTTCAATGGGAGAAATCCCAGACGGAACACTGATGAGATGAGAATCAAGTGGAATTTCATAGGATGGCAGTAGCCAGGCTAGCATATTTTTAAAATTAAAGAAAAAAACAATTTTTTTTTCTTCTAATAAAAATCTCAAAGATCTATTGTGCACATGTATTCAACCCTTTTTACTCTCACGCAGCTAAATAAAACCCGCTGCACCCAATTCCTACAGTTAAATTTTTACTTAAACAATTAGTTTAAATCCTCTGCTATTTTTCCATCTACTTCACAGTTATGCACTATTTGTGTTGATATCACACATTGAACATGAATTACGATGTGATTTAAAAAAAAATCAACAAGATACATTTTAATGTTTAATGGTGGCCACATTGGTAAAAAAAAAAAAGATCAAAAAGTTTACAATTTTTAGAGACTAGAGTTTTAACCTTTTCCTTTTCTAATTTTCTGTAGCAACTAGCTGTGCTGCATCAGAGGACTGTTAGCTGTTCCCTTTCAGTGGTGCCCAAAGTCGGTCCTTGAGGGCCGGCATCCTGTAGACCAGGGGTGCCCAAGTCCAGTCCTCGAGAGCTACCATCCTGCAAGTTTTAGAAGTATCCTTACTCCAACAGACCGGGATCAGCTCTACAGAGGCCTGATAACGAGCCATTCATTTGATTCAGGTGTGTTGAAGCAGGGATGCATCTGACAGTTGCTGGATGGTAGCTCTCGAGGACTGGACTTGGGCACCCCTGCTGTAGACTATTTCTCTCCCTGGTTTAACGCTCCTGTATCCAATGATGGCTCATTAGAAGACCGAAGAAGAACTTTGTCATGCTGAGGAGGTTGTTACTACCAACAAGGAAGAGAACTAAAATGTGCAGGATGCCGGCCCTCGACGACCGACTTTGGGCACCCCTGCTTTAGATAGACAATAGCCTCACGTTTGAAATGTAAAAAGTGCCTTCATTGACAAATAATGCACTTTGTTCACTATCTTGAGGGTTAGTAAGTAGTGTAATTAGAGGCGATCATTTACACAGCTGTTAATCATCCCTCCATATTGAGACTACAAGAATGCAAGCTGTGTGAACTGCCATTACAGATGCACTGTCTATTAGCGTCATGATAACACCTCTTAGAACAGTAAAGTATTTATAAAGAAAGGTTTTGCATGTTATTTCTGGGCCATAGTTCTAATGAACAAAATTAGAAAAGGCTGCAAATAATAAAGGAAGGCGATATACAAAAGGGGATTTCTAAATGGTGCACTGCGTATAACACCATGAAGTTTTATTTATTCATGGAGGAATTTGTGACATCAGTGAGCACACATCAGAAAAAAAAATCTAACAATACCAGATGAAAGCAATGGCTAGATCATACTGGAATGCTTGCTATTCCTTTTCAGTGCTTAAAGCCAGCGTTTGTAGATTCTGGGAGATAGATTGAGTGAATAAGAAGAGATGACAAGTGGAAAAGCTGCAGATTGACAAATGCAGTTGCCCATCTTCAGGGACCAATGTTCATGTCACATCGTGATGAAAGCTGTGGGGATGGCAGCGAGACGAGGGGCTGCTCAGGAAATGCGTGTCAGTCTTTGGGGTGACTGATGAAATCTCTTCTATACTTATTTCAGGAAGTTATTTTAAAACATTTAAGAACTTAGCTCTACAGAATCTGAGCGCATAAGAAACGCTTTGTATGCTCGCAAAGAGACTTTAGGCAGTTTTTTTTTTCTGTTTCCTATTGCCTCAGCAATGACTGTTCTGCTTCTACGCAACTGAGACCAAAGACGACATGATTCCTAGGGTTACATTTTATCATTGTTCTTCATATACGAGCCATCAGTGGCTCGTATATGAAGAACGAGCCATTGAAGAAACCTCATAAGGCATCAAACTGGTGCCAAAATACGAGCAGCTCGAGGAGCAAAACAAAGACTGAACTGCTGTGAGTGTCAGCTGTACAGAGATTGTTTACTGCACTTGCTACCATTAGATGGGTTTTCCTCTTAAAGTTATTTCTTGGATAGTTTGGTTGGGCTGGAAAATGTGTAATAGGACCAAGCTAGATAATTCCACCACATTTATTAAATAATTTCCAGTTTTGCTTCTCTTCTTGCAGTTGAGGAAAATCTTGCTGGTCCCTGAAGTATTCATTTGGAGTGTTTCCCTTGTTCTTTTTTTTTATGCACGCCACTCTCTTTTAAAGTAGGAAAAGGAACAGGAACCTGCTTTTCTGCCAATTTCCTCTAATAGTGCTCAAATAAATAAAACTTCTACTACTTGGAAGTCTGGATGGTAGCTAAATATTTTTAATATTTTTTGTCTAATTTGTCTCAAACTCTTGCTTTTCCTAGAACCTTTCTTTAACATTGTTTGTACAGTTTTTGTCGATTAAATCAGATTCTTTGGAGATTTTGTTGACACTTATTGTTTCTATTGTATATCTGTTCGAATGATCAAGGATAGATTACGGTTGTTATTTTTCACCATAGTCATGTCAGGTGTCACATTGGATCTTTGCAGAAGTAGGTGGCAACTAGTATAAAAATGGAAAACGTGTGGGTAAAAAACTAAGTACACTTTATGATGAAACGGCTTGTAGGCTGATCTGTCCCAGCAATGACATGAAGAAGTTATTTTCCTTCATTGTGAATCTTTGGACCACTCTTTATTATGCTGTGTCGAGTGTGTGTGCTTTGCAGGCATTTATTCCTGCAAAGCTTTCTTCATGTCTTGCAGCAGAATTGAGTTGAAGTCTGGACTTTAAGTTTAACTCCTTTATTCTTTTCATTTTCAGTCATAATGTTGTTATTGGTTTAGATTTCAGTATCTTTTTCCCATGACATCCATATTTCAGCCAAGCTCAGATGGCCTTACATGTGATGTTTTTTAATACTGTTCAGAGGAGTTCATGGTCAGTTGAATGACTGCAAGACGGTTCAGTGGCTCCGAAACCCAAAACATCACTCCTCCACCACCTTGCTTGACTGTTTCTATGGAGTGTTTCTCTGACATGGCGTTTGCTTTTCCCCCAGCGTGAATTATGGTGGATTAAGTCAAATTTAACTTTACAAATCTAAGTTATGCTGCCATGTTTCTTTTATAGACAAAAGGTTTTCCATTTGCAACATTTCCAAACAAAGCATACCGGTTTGCTTCTGTTTTAATTCCACATTCATGAACGTGATGAAGATGTCAAAAAAAAAAAAAAAAAAATATTTTTAGCCCAAAAACAGACTGCAAAAATACTCCTCACCACACTCTTCTTTAAGGCTAGATTTGGCTTATTTTGGCCAATTTAGGCCATTTAACAGTGATATTATTTTTCATCTCTTTCTCCATAGATATCTGCTCCACTTTGCCGCTACGCGGTTGGCTGTATTCTGAGTGAGGGAGAAAACAAAGTTGATGAGGAACTTCTGAAGCAATGCAAGTCATCAGGGTTTAGTGTCTTCTCCTTCCCCCAAGTCACCCACGTGATTTCTACCTCATTCCGTCACACGGCGCTGTTTTCTACGTACTTCAGAGTGAGACGAGTCTACCCACAGCTGGAGCGCTACATCAAGGTACGCAGAGTTTAGACATCTACAATAATTTCCATCATTTTATGAGGGTTTGTATGAAAAGCAATGTTGTTCAAATAATAATAAAAAAAAACACGTTTAATTTTTCCAGAAATAAGATAAATAGTATTCTGAACATACATTTACATTTAAGAAATATGTTTTGATTAGAACTTGACATTTGTCTATTGTAAACTGACAAGAAAAATTAAATATAACTAAACATGAAAAATTTGAATCAGGTTTATTTGTAAGGTTAGTGAACAACGAAGGAATTTGACTTCCTTTTCACTTTGTTCTCATCCATCCGCCATTTTCTTTACACCCTTGTCCCTTAGTGGGGTCGGGAGGGTTGCTGGTGCCTATCTCCAGCTATTGTTCCGGGCGAGAAGTAGGGTACACCCTGGACAGGTCGCCAGGGCAACACAGAGACAAACTACCATGCATACACACACTCAATTTGGAGAGGTCAATTAACCTGACATGTTTTTGGACTGTGGGAGGAAACCGGAGTACCCGGAGAAAACCCACACATGCACAGGGAGAACATGCAAACGGGAATCGAACCCAGAACCTTCTTGCTGTAAGGCAACAGCTCTACCAATTGCGCCACTGTGCAGCCCACTAAATGTTAACAATTTAAAATCGTTTTACCTCATTCTGTCATGCAGTGCTTTTCTACGTACTTCAGAGAAAAAAAAAACTTTGTTTTTTCACAAAATTGTAAACTTTAACGGTACAAAAGAACAAGAAAGAAGTAATCTAAGTGGCTTGGTTTTGGTAAAAAATTAGCAGGAGCTTTTAAAAAGTACATTTTTCCAAGTATTTTCTTGTATCAGTTCTTAAAGGGTGGATTTTAAATGCCATAATATTTTCCTTTTGTAAATGCTAAAAAGGAAAAACTGCATGTTCTGTCTTCTTTGTGGTTATTTATAAAAGAAAAGGAACGATTTGCTAGAATGAATCACTGAAACCCTGAGCAATCCTTGCTTCTACCAATGCAAGCAAATAATCAATATTTAACCTCAGACCCCCTCATGCATGAGTAAGTCTTTCAAAGTTTTTTTTTTTTTTTTTTTCTGTTGAGAGTTTTGGCACATGAAAACTTTTCATTACTCATTCTTTTTTTGCAACATCCTGTGGAGGTTTGGAGGCTTGTGTTAGGAAGACATGTATAGCAGATAAAAAGACGGAGATGTGGTATGATCCTGAACAAATGAGGGAAAGGAGGAAAATCAACAGTAGAGGAATGCTTTATGAATGATGTGTCTAAGTGCTGCCAAAGGGATGGATGTTAAGAAAGTGAGTCACTGTGATGAGCAGAGGACTCGGTGAATATGGTGAAACAGGGAAGTGTGCTGTAACAGGTGGCGTCGCCGTAGGCAGTCTCAGTCGCTGTACGGCTGCTGAGGGGAGGGAAATGTTTGCGTGACCCGTTTGTGGCTGGTTCTGCCATCTGCTCGGAAGCTGTTTAGACCTGGCTTTTCTCCAGTGGCACTTAGCCTGCATGAAAGGTCAGCTTATAGCTAGCCCAATATAATCTGAAGCTCTATTACATTTCACTTTTTTTTCCCCCTTTAAGTATTTAAACACTCACTTATTTCACTGTTTTTACTTTATTTAAAGTTTTCTACTCTTGTTAAGAGAGTATAAAAAGATAGATTAAAATCAAAAGTAGGATCTGGTATGAAAAATTAAGCGACGTTGCCCAGCTCTAATATACGTATATATTATAATATTGTATAATATACTTAGCAGGGCTGCTGAGGTTGTGACGACGTCTGTCTGATATCCACCAAATGAGCACAAACTTTCAAAATTGTTGTTTTAAAACATTTTCAGTAGCTTTAAATTATTAAGAGATCATGCTCAGATGTCCATCTATGCTATCATTTTCCCACTTATTTCCTATTGCATAACAGTTTGGGCTCAAACATTGCTATCTAAATACTAGATATATTTCATCTCTGCATAAATCAGCTCTGAAAATTATGAATAAAAAGCCCATTTATTTGCCATCACTGTTGAAAAAGATCAATTTTGCTTAACATTGATAATTCCATGCACCTGTGTAAATACAAATTCTATAGAAATATAAATTCTCTCTCAAGCAAATCCTTTGCATCCTGTTTTGAAATCATATCAAACTGCACAATTTCCATCCAAATAAAATTGTATTTAATTTATTTTTTTCTTTCTCTTTCTAATGATGTGTCCTATTTGTTCTCAAAAATTGGATTTCACAAGCTGACGGCAGCCTTAACGATTTGCAACAGGAATTTTGCTTTACTCAGCTGTGATGCCGTTACCAACTTCCAAGGCAAATTGAACAGTGTTCGTTCAAACAAGCAACATTTCAGATGTCTTTTTGTTCTCTGTACTGATTGTAACCATTCCACAGAATATGATGCATCCTCTTAAGGATTTCTTTATTGGACACAGAAATTACACCGAACCTATTGGTTTGAAAAATCAACATTATATATTTTAGAAGTTTAATGGATCGCTTGTAAAGAATTTTTTTTTTTTTTTACGATATTTAAATTTTATCAGTTTTTGAAATGAATCCTTTAGATGACAAGATTTAAAAGAAATATTATAGCTATGGATTACTAAAAGAAACAGATTAATGAGGAAAGTTCTCTGTAGTTGTTTTTTTCTTTTTTCTTCTTTTTACTGTGAATAAATATTCTGTTGATGGCTCAACATATCCCAAATGAGGAGACCTTTTCAATAAGCTCATTAGCATTTAGCATGCCTAGCTTGTCATGGCGAAATGATTTCTGACTGTTGCATTGTGAATGGCTGCCCCGTGGCCAGGCCTGATATTTGCCTTGTCAGACCATCGATTGGCCCCGATGTTTTCTCTTCTGTGCCTTGGCTCTGTAGTCTTGGGTGAGACCACAGAAGCGTTGGCATCTTGAGATTTTAATTTTTAGCATCGTGGCCAGGCCTGCAGATGGAGATGGATGGTAAAGAGGGGGGATAATATTGCTGACATTCACAGAGCTCTAAAGTTTGTGAAAGGCAGATGATGGAACATTTGTTTGCTTGGGGCCACTCAAGTTTCTGGCCAGCACAGAGGTCCTGTGCTGAATGTAAAGCAAGGTTTTCTTTGCTCAGTGGAATTGTTTTTAGAAACTGGCCCCAATTAAACTCTGCATGAAGTCTTCTGTTGCCTAAGAGAGGAATTCAAGGGTTCGTCTTTGGACCCGCGATGCTTGCTGTCAGATTTCATCGTCCTGTTATTTAAATGCGTGACATGGATGCAGGTCCACAGGGTTTGTTAAACATGCCGACTTTTAGCTAACTGTGACGTCCATTCAGAAAGGTCAGAAAAGGTTGTTGAGTTTGCATACTTGAAAATGTCACGAAGGCAGCTTCCTGCTGGAAAATGCAGAAAGGTAGCTAAATTGTGTAGAACGGTTGCTTACTAGATGGGAAAGTTACACATTTACATGTTTGAGGTCTTGTTTAGAAAATGCTCTCTGTATTTAATATCATGAGTTTCACTCTGAACTCTTACACTGATAGAAAGCTGCTGATTTTCTATTTTCTTTTATCCTCCCATTTCTGCTGCTTTGCAGTACCGAACTAACTAAAATGTAGACAAGAGTTCTGAAAGTTCACCCTACATATCAGAAAATGTGAAATGAATTTGACCAATAACTATCAGGCTGTTTGAGAACTTTTATAGAACAATGAAGGTTTAATTCCCTGACAGTGAATTGATACTTAAATAGACAATCATGTCTGCAAAAATAAAACTATCCTGACACAGTAGAGCACTTTGATTTCCACACTCTTGATCTCAATATACATGCACTATTCACAGCTAAAGGACATAAAAGTCTAGGCATTTTAAAGGGTTGAACATGACAGAGCTTGATGTTCTGCAAAATCTTCTTAATTTCTTGACATTTAGACCTATGTAACATATTATTTTTAAAACACTCATAAAGCTGTCAAAATGAAAAACAGTCTTATAGTCTCTTACCTGTTTCTCCTTCTTTCTTGGTTTTAGCAGTTTGTTCAGCTCTTCCTATTCTTTATCAGTGCCCACAAACACACACACCACATATTTTGTTCTATAACAACCCAAAACTAAAATCTAATTGAAAACATTTGCACAGTTATTTTTCTCGAGAAAAAAAAGAGAGAAGAAAATCATTGTTTGATGCACTACCATAAATTTGGGTGTTTTAACCATCTTTCTATCCTCTTTCTCAGGCGGTCTTTATATTTATCCGACATCAATTTCTTCCTTGTTTCTCTTTCTCTCGTTCTCCCTTTTTGCAGCACAGTGTCTTTGGTTATTTTTACTTGGGTTTTTTGGACTGGCTGGAAATTGGAGTACTTGGAGAAAACCCGTTCAAGCACAGGGAGTACATACAAACTGAAAACAGAAAAGCGCTGCTCGGAATTTGAACCAGAGGCTTTTTTTTGTTATGAAGCAACTGTACAGATTAAGTAATAAAAATATAAGGAATAGTTTTTGCATATGTTTATACTCGTACTCAAGCTGAACTAAAAACTCTAAAAATAATTGCTTAACTAATGTTTGTAAAAATCTTTAACTGCCTCGTCAATTTAACGTATATGACGTTTAAGTGCTGGTGGTGAAACGGGAACATGAACTGGGGAGAACTACAAAACAGAGGCAGTACCCACAAAGACAACAATTTGACGCGATTTTGTTAAATCAGACTCCCTTCCTGTGTGTGGATTTATTTTTAACCAATTATCCACGTTAACTTCAATTCAATGGGCATCTTTTGATCAAGTGTGTTGCATCACGACCCTGCAAGCCAACTCTTCCCTCAGGAGCTACTGCAGAGTTTGCCTGTTAAATGTTCAAACATGACTTTCATCCAACAGCAGCTGGGAATCTACTGTTGATGTTAAATGTCACATCTACATATGATTGATCTGATTTAAACTTTATTTGCTGTTGCTCTGTCGCCATGAATTAAGATCAGGCAGCGGGGGTGTGAGTGCAGTTTTGGAGGGTTGGTTAT